TTTAATGAAGACTTAAACTTTAATGATTTATATTGACAGTTGATCCTTTTTTTGTATTTTCATTTAAAAAATTGCAAACATAACCTATAATTTTTTGCTTCTAAGGTCCCTTTCTTCAGATCGCGTCACATATGAAAAAAAGTTTGTGAAAAATTTCGTCAAAACTTTCGCTATTAATAAAATTAAAATTGTGCCCATTAACGAAATCCATTCAGGAAAAATTGTGAGCCACCTGATTTAACAAATCCCTTATCTTTCTCCCTCATGAAGAGGAAAATAATAAAAAAATAGACGGAGATTGGGAGGGAGACGAGAAACGATTATTACAAGTGATAAACACGGAACAAAATGGAAGACCACTTAGTGTCTTCTCTGATGACTTATGTTTCTACACAAAGAGGCTTTAATGTCTTTCATAATTTTCCAGATTTGAATATTTAGGGGGTTCGAGAGAGAAGAGAGCGAGCGATGTGAGCGATGAACGATGTGAAAGAGACGAGAAATATCATTCAAATGCATTTTTTTCGAAGGCTAAATTCCACATTGATTTGTCAAAATTCTCAGTGTATTGAAATTTAATAATTTTTGAGTAAGATGGAACTTTTATATTTAAACAAAAATTAAAATTTTTCTTTTTTTTTAATTTTGTTTAATTTTAAGTTTTACTTGCTAAGTTTTTTACTTAAAGAAATTTTTATTAGGTACTTATTTTTGTTCAATCAAATTTTTACCTACATTTCCCAAAAAAAAATTTTTTCCTCAAAATCGATCGAATTTCTAAATAATTTTTTAAATCTTAATTAGTGACAAGTTGCCCACTGATTTAAATTAACAAAAACTTTCCACTAATTAGCCATTTTCCACTACAACTTTAAAACTTTCTTTCCACTAGAAATTTAAAAATACTAAATAGAAATAGTACAATTTTACTAAAAATTAGTAAAGTATCACTAAAAATAACTAAAAATTATTCCTACTTCCAATCAATGCAAACGACTTTTCATTAATTTAAATTTAGACAGAAACAAATTTTTATTTAATCAACTTTCTATACTTAATCGAGTTTTTATTTCATTCAATTTGAATTCTATTGAGTTTTTATTTTATAAAATTTCATCGAATTTTAAATTCATAAAAATTTTGATACAGTTAAACAATTTTTTCTTTAAATTTAAAAAATTCTTTTTCATTTAATATATATAAAAATTCTAATTTTCTAAATTCTAGTTATAAACAAAAATTCTCGAACTTAAGGAAAATTACTTGAAAAATCCCATTAAATAAAAAACCCAAAACGAAAATTTGAGAAATGAAAGACTGAAAATTAATTCGAACGCATAAATTTTCTCAAAACTAAAATTAAGGTCGAATAATAAATTAATCAAATCTCAAAATGTTAATAAATACGTAAATCAATTTTTGATCAAATAAACATCCATTCGAAATAATAAACATTCAAAATTTTCATTAATTAACTATTTAATTGTACATTCAAATAAATATTCGAATTTTTTATTTTTAGACCAAATAAGTATTCAAGATTTAAAATTTTCAATAATTACGAAGTTAAAAACTGAAATTCAATTATTTATAACAATTACAAACCCAATTCTTCAAAAATTAATTTTTTACGAATTTTTAAGTGAAATATATCTCTAAATAATTTATAAATAATAATTTTATCAAATTTTTTAAAAATAAATTCAATTTCATATTTTGTAAAGTTCAATAATTATTGTCAGAAATAAAAAAAATCTAAGATTTTGTATATTAAAATTCAAGATAGGTTTTTTTTCAATTTAATGAACTATTATCTATTTTTTAAAATTTTAACAAAATTCCTCCTCGCAAAAATTTAATTATTTTTATATAAATATTCAATTCTTCAAAGAAATGCAATTATTTTCAATACAATTTTAATAAAATCTTTCCCAAGAATTGAATTATTTTTTATAAATGCTAAAAATCTTCATTGGAATTCAATTATTTTTGAAAATTTTAGTAAAATTCTACGGAAGAATTCAATTATAATTAATCTATAGAAATTTAATTAAATATTTTCTATTTTTTTTTTAATTTTAACAAAATTCCTCACAAGAATTCAATTTTAATAAAATTCTTCTCAAGAATTAAATTATGTAAATATAAATAATTAAATTCTTCATATTAGGATTTCAATTATTTTTAAAAATTTTAATACAATAATTCTATCGGAAGAGTTCAATTATTTTTAGTATTATTATTTCTCCAAAGAATTAAAAGATAAATCAAAAATATTTTCGAAATTTTTAATAAAATGCTGGTAAGAATTCAATTATTTTCAAAAAACTGTAATGAAATTTAATAATAAAATTTTTAATTACAATTATTAACAAACACGGTTATTTTCAAAATTTAAAAAATCTTCCGTAAAAATCAACTGTCTTCAAATTTTTCAATTTATATTATTAAAAAATTTAAAGAAATTCTTCAAAAGAATTCGGAGAATTTTCATTAATAATAAAATTTGTCATAAAAGAATTAAATTATTTTCATTACGCTTTTAATAAACTAAAACCGAAACATACTCTCTAAATTTGAGTTAGTAAAAACATTTACTAATTTAATAATAATAATAATGATTCTATCACTCGGTTGTCAAATTAATTAAGTAAGTATTGAAGTCAACGATTTACTAATTTAAATTAGTAACTGACTTTTTGCTTTTTAAATAGTAAATAGTTTTACTAATAAACAGTAATTTCTACTAATTTATTAGTAAATTTTACAAATTCAAAAGCAAAAAGTCAGTCACTAATATTCAAGTTAGTAAATATTTTTACTAATTCAAATGTAGAGAGTAGCGATTCGACCTTTTGTGTGGAAAAATTCATTCGCCCAAATTAATTTCTCTAAATCGCTAAACATAAAATTTGTAAATTACCCAAATTTCAATAAATACTGAGAACTTAGACAAATGTTATGCGGGAATCATTAGATGAATCATTGAACGCTGGTATTTATAAATGCAGGACACAACCTAACACAAGATAATAGAATACTCTCTGCGGTTTAGCGTGTGTGACTCCGCGGGGGATACATGTCACTGTCCCCAGGCTGGGGCCCCAGTTATTCTTGGGCCAGGCAATGCATTCCACGCTCTCCCCCCACGATGATGCTTAAACCATCCTGACACTCTCGTATACGGTATCATCGCAGTTTATCCCTCACCACTTAGATAAGATCATGATCTCTTCGAGTCTCTCTCTCACCTTTTATTTCTTCTCTGCCCATCTCGTGAGAGAGTGAGTGAGAGACCCCACTGTGTTTGGCGCGGCGGTGGGTATTCCGGGTACAACCTACCACTCGACAGCCCACCCTCGTATGCCACTGCTTGCACTCGTGGGGATGACGACGATTGGATGGAGAATGCAACCTGATAAAAGAAAAAAAGAGCATTAAAGATTCAAGCTAGAAAAGACTGACGTATTATTTATATATATAAAATAGCTGAGAGCACCAACTCTGTCTTCTGTCCTTCTGTGGACGATAACATCGACAAAAGTCTTCCATCTTTCTCTTTTTGATGCGAGCTTGAATCATCAGAGTATCTAGAAATTATTAATGCCTAAGAGAGAGAGAGAGAGATGTGTACAAATAGAAAAAGAGTCAATAAAAGAGAGAGAGAGAGAGAGACGAGAAGGGAGATGTGAAATCCCAAAAGAAGAGAGAGGACCCAATCTTGGAGATAAGATCGCGACAAAACAGGTTATAATGTCGAAGGTGAGAAATCTCTAAGCGAGGGGATCGTGTTGTCTTATCGATGATGATGATAATAAACTCGTGTTATTAGAGTGGAGAATGCAAGTGTGGCAAATTTAGACATAAAACCTTCCAATGTATATCTTTATCGAAAAATTAAGAAACATATTAATCTATCCGATATATTGATTAATGAATAAATTATAATATAACGATATTATCAACCCGCACTCAATTTACGAATTTAGAAAAAATAATTACAAAAAATGCACCCGATTTTCAAAACGCTTATGATTGCTATTTCATTTTGATTTAATTCAAAAATTTGTCAAAATAGAAATCTTATTTAATGTAGAATTTCTATTTGATTTTTTAAATCAAATCAAAGTTCCGGACAAGACAATGAAAATATTGATTTTCCAAATTCTGAATTGTTGCTTTTTTAAAATAATGTAGTTTTTTGAATAATTTTAATTGAAAACTTTTGAAAATATTCGAATTAAACATTTTCAGGGTTACCACAAATATTTAATTTTATTTTCCCCTGACTTTTCCCTTATTTCCAGACAAAATTTTCATTTTTTCCCTGACCCTAAAGAATATTCTGATTCACTCTAAAAATTATTAGATTCTCAAAAAAACATTCTATTACATTTACTCACGAATTTCTTAAATTGTAAAATTATTCGCAAACATCAATAACTAAATTTTTAAATAAGTACTAGCAAAAAAGGACGCGCGCGAGCGCGCGTGCATTTTTATGTCAACGTTTTATTTTAAATAATTAAAACTTTTTTTTTTAAAGAAATTAATTCATCTTCTGTTAATTAATATATTTTTGTATTTATTTTTTTATATAAATAATTAAAATTTTTATTTATTAATTGAAAATATCTGTTCGCAGTTTATAGTTCTTTTTGTTTAGTTTATTATATTTTTCCTATTAAAATAACAATTTTTTTAAAATGATTATTTTTTAAGGGCATTTTAATTATTCTGACATCATAATATTTTAAATAAATTTTTTAAATAGATTTAAAAAATGAAAATGCTGGAAAGAATGAAAAATACATTTTTTTCAGAAATATAAATTTATTTTCAATTATAATTATCTTTTATATTAATAAAGTTCGTGATAATTATAATAATGAATGAACTATATAATATGATTAATTAATAATAAAAAAAAATATTGATAATTGTCAATTATCAATAGTAAATGTGAAGAAACTTATTTAAAAAAAAAGAATAATGAAATCAAATTTGCTTTTGAAAACAAACTCTTATTGGAGATTAGTTTTTTTTGTTGGCGCACTATTCTTCTTAATCCTCTCAATTCCTTTTCTTAATTCTTTTTCTTCTGCTCTTTCTTTTAATTTTTTCATATCTTTGAATTGCTTTACGATTACATGTGGTGGATCTGAAAAAATGAAATTATTTATATTATAAAATGATACATTAATTTTAAAAAATTTTTGTAATTATTTCTCAAATTATATTTTATTACATATATATATATATTAATAATAATTCTTTAATTTACAATTCAAAAAGTATTAAAAAATATTTTTTCATTTTAATAGTTTGAATATTATTAAATATTTTTATTTATAAATTATACTAACGACCAATGTAATAAAATTTAGAACGATATTTTTTATTGATTCAGGAAAATTGAATTTTTTAATTAAAATTAATAATCGTTGAAAATTGAAAATAATACAACTTTTATTGACAATTCGATATTTCAGTTTTTTTAGATTTTAAAAATGCATAAAATTTTCAATAATAATAATAAATCAAAATACAATAAATATTATCAATTATAATTATAAATAAAAAAAAATAATAATAATAATAATAAGATATACGAATAAAATTTGTTTTTAAGTTATTTTGAGATTTTTATTTAACAAAATAAAATGAAATAATATAAATGATTTAATTAAGAAGAAAATTTTAATTAATAATTAGAATTTACCAATCTACAGTTTTTTTTCCACTGAAAACGGTAACCTCTCGCCTGATACCAGATATTTTTCCACGATTTTTCAAACACAATAATTCTTGTCACAATTTAACGTTTTTTAAAAACACCCGCACTACCGCATAACATAACATCGGAAATGTCAAAACATCACGAAAAATATAAACAAACAAAAAAATCATGATAATAATTCGCAAATGATAACTAACAACTAACTTCATACTGCGAACGGACAGAATGAAAAACCACAGACTTTAATAAAGTTAATAATAAGTATTTCATTATTATTTTTCCTTCAAAACATTCAAATTCAAACATTTTTAAAATTAAACAACTTATAAGAATATTATTATAAAACATGAAGATATCAATTTCTCCAAGTCTTCGACTCGGAGTGATTGATATCTTCATGTTTTATAAAAGTTTTAATTTCATAAAATTTTTCAAAAAAAGTTAAATTATTTACAAAAATTATAATAAAATTCTAAGCAAGAATGCAATTATTTTCATAAATAATAAAATTCTTCACATGGTTTCAATTATTTTTAATACAATTTTAAATAAATTTCTCGAAAAATAAAACTATCTTCAAAAATTTTTTGCAAGAATTAAATTAGGTACATTTCACAAATAATGAAATTCTTCGCTGAAATTCAAAAATTTTCAAAATTTACATTTTTAATACAAGTTTTTAAAAGAATATTCTAATTATTTAAATAAAATGTAATAAAATTCGTTGCATAAATTCAATTATTTTTACAAGTAATAAAATTTTTCACATGAATTCAATTATTTGAAAAAAATTGATAAAATTCGTTGTAAGAATTCCATTATTATTTCATAAATTATAAAATTTTTCTCAGGATTTAAATTATTATTTATAATACAATTTAAAGTAAATTCCTAGAAAAATGAAATTATTCTCTTAATTTTCTTGTAAGAATTTAATTACATTTCACGAAAATAAAATTCTTCGTTGAAATTCAAATATTTTCATAATCTACTTTTTTAATAAAAGTTCTCAAAAGAATTCAATTATTTAAAAAAATGTAATAAAATTCGATGCAGGAATTCAATTATTTTCATAAATAATAAGATTCATTACATTATTTCAATTATTTAAAAAAAAATTTGAAAAAATTATTGCAAGAAATCAATTACTTTCATAAATGAATAAAATTCTTCACAGGATTTTAATTATTTTTAATACAATTTTAAGTAAATTCTTCGAAAAATGTATAACTATTTTCAAAAATTTTGTTAAAATTCTTCGAAAGAATTCAATTATGTATTTTATTAATTATGTATTTTTAAAAATTCATGCTATAATGCTTTTAATATTCAATTATTATCTAAAATTTTAACTAATATTCATTTTTAAATCAATTTTTATTGGAAAATTCTACAAGAATTCAATTATTTAAACACAAAAATAAATAATTTATTGAATAAATGAATGTTTTTCGAAACTAAATTATCATAAAGATTTTTATCAACAAACTTGAATTTTTTCGAGAAATTTTAATAAAATTTTCAAGAATAATTAAATTTTTCGAGGAATTCAATTAAAATTGTATTAAAAATAATTAAAATTCTATGATGAATTTTATTATTCATGGAAATAATTGAATTTTTGTAAAAAATGTTATTATTTATGAAAATAATTGAATTATTGCAAAGTTTGCTTAGAATTTTATCAAAAAAATTTTTTTAAATAATTGAATTCTTTTGAAAAATTTTATTAAAACTGTAGAAATTGAATATCATTGAATTGAGAAACATTTTTTGAAAATAATTGAAATTTTGCAAAGAATTTTATTAAAATTTTTGAAAATAATTAAAATTTGGAGAAGAATTTTATTATTTTTAAAGATAATTGAATTTTGACGAGAATTTTTAAAAATTTTTGACCATAATTGAAATTTTTGCAAAGAATTTTATTACTTTTGAAAATAATTGAATTTCTGCAATCGTTTGTAACTTCTTCAAAATTCAATTTTTTCCAGTTACTTAAATAAAAATCCCTGTTTTTTCCCTGACTTCCCTGACCAATTTTACTTTCCCTGACTTTTCTCTGAATTCCCTGATTTCCCTGACCTGTGGCAACCCTGATTTTATTTATGAAAATAATTGAATTCTTGTCAAGAAATTTTTATCAGAATTGTTGAAAATAATTAAATTTTCAAATTTAAACTCTTAAAAAAATAATTGAAACTCTTAAAAATAATTGAATTTCTCCAAAACATTTTTTTATTTATGAAAATAATTGAATTCCTTTGTAGAATTTTATTATTTACGAAAATCTTGTTATTCTTACGAAGAATTTCCTTATTTATGAAAATAATTGAAATTCGAATGAAATAAAATTTGATTAAATGGAAATTCAAATAGAATTGAAATTTCGATAAATTGTAAATCAAATAAATTATATTTTGAATTTGTATACATATAATTTTAAATTAATTGTCGCAAATATTACCGAAAATTAAAACTGACTTAAATTTCGATCGATTACAGTTTTAATCGAATAATAGTTTCAAGTAATTAAAATTAAGATTCAATGAAATTTGGAACAAGTATATTTCAAATCGATGAAAATTTGTGATAAATTGACGCTTAGATTAATTGAATCAATTTTAATCAAAAATACTTTGAAAGTATTTGTTGATTTAAATTGTAAACGATCGAATTTAAAATTCGAATTAATCTTCACTTCAAATTATCAAAAATTTAATTAATTCAAAATTTATAAAAATTGTAACTACATTTAAGTTACACCTTATCCCAATTTTAATCCAATAATAAATTTCAATTACATTCAAATTTTAATTCAATTTTGAATTGAACTTCCATTCGATATTTAAAATATTCGGTAAATAAAACTTTCGTTAATTTAAACTATTTTTCTTGTCCCTTGGAATTTAAATTACCGAAAAGAACGAGTGTATACATTACGAAAAGAATGATCCCTACATTTTTCTATCATTCTCTCAAAGATTTTTCAAATTGAAAAAATAGAATTATAAATCAATAAGTATACCTGATCATCTCATCTGATTATCCAAAACTATTAGGATCAGAAAAAATTTGATTAGTAGGCATCTTTTTGATGAAGCTTTCAATCTCAACAAACTGTCGTCTTGGAAGAATCGAAATATTTTCTTTTATTCTCCAATCTTGAGGCATTCCATCATCAATATGATAATTTTTCTGAAAGAAAATAATAATAATTATAAACTTTTAAACAGTGTAGATTCGAGAAGTAAATAAAAAATAAATAATGATAATAGTAACAAAAATAATATAAAAATCAAAACAAGGGGAGTAAAGTGTTTTTGAAAAGCCCAAAAATAATAAAGCAATCTGCCTTAAAATAAAAGAAAAATGTTGAATTTTAAGAAATTTCGATTTTTGATGCTGAAGGTCAAAGTAGTTTTTTTGAACAAAGGGTAAACTTCAAAAGACGAGTAAAGTATTTTTGAAGAGCCCAAAAATATTAAAGCAATTTGCCTTAAAATAATAGAAAAATGTTGAATTTTAAAAAATTTCGATTTTTGGTGCTAGAGGTCAAATAATTTTTTATTGACCAAAGGGTGAAGTTCAAAAGACGAGTAAAGTATTTTTGAAGAGCCCAAAAATAATAAAGCAATTTGCCTTAAAATAAAAGAAAAATGTTGAAATTTAAGAATTTTCAATTTTTGACCAAACTACTTTGGTTAAAGTAGTTTTTTTTACCAAAGAGTGAAGTTTAAAAGAAGCGTAAAGTATTTTTTAAATATTTATAAAAAAAATTGAATTCTTGATAAAAATTTGTTTCAACTTTTTGAAAATAATTGAAATCCTCCGAAGAATTTTATTATTAATGAAAATAATTGAAATCTTCCAAAGAATTTTATTTTTATGATGATAATTGAATTCTTGCGAAGAATTTTATTAACATTTTTTAAAATAATTGAAATTCTCCGAAGAATATTATTATTTAACAAAATAATTGAAATCGTCAAAAGAATTTTATTTTTAATAAAGATAATTGAATTTTTAGGAAGAATTTTATTAAAATTTTTAAAAATAATTGTAATCCTCAGAAGAATTTTATAACTTATAATAAATAATTTAATTTTTTGATGAATTATACTTCGAAAGGATTTTTTGACAAGAATTTGTTTCAAATTTTTTAAAATAATTAAAATTCTGTAAAGAATTCAATTATTTATGAAAATAAATTGAATTCTTGAGAAGAATTTGTTTAAAATTTTTGAAAATAATTGATTTCTGAAAGAGAATCTTATTAAAATTTTGGAAAGTAATTGAATTCTTTTAATGAATTTTATCAACATTTTTGAAAATAATTAAATTTTGTGGAGAATATAAATCAATTTTTTTTAAATAGAATTTTAAAAATATTTGAATTTTCTCAAAGAATGAAAGATTTTAAAAAATTGAATTTTTTGAAGATTTTAACTAAAATTACTTTAAAAAAAATTGAATTCTTACAAAAATTGCAATCAAAACTTTCGAAAATAATCGAAATAAATTCTGAATTTAATTAAAACTTTTGAAAATAATTGAAATCCTCCGAAGAATGTTGTTATTAAGGAAAATAATTGAAATCTTCCAAGGAATTTTATTTTTATGAAGATAATTGAATTCTTGAGACCTATTTTATTAAAATTTTTGAAAATAATTGAAATTCTCCGAAGAATATTATTATTTAAGAAAATAATTGAAATTGTCAAAAGAATTTTATTTTTAATGAAGATAATTGAATTTTTAGGAAGAATTTAAAAAAAAAATTTGAAATTAATTGAAATCTTTTGAAATATTTTCGTATTTATGAAAATAATTAAAATCTTGCAATTAAAATTTATTAAAATTTTTGAAAAATATTATAATTGTTTCAATGAAAATTTAAATTCTTTGGAGAAATTTAATAAAGATTATTTGATTAAAATTTAATTAAGAAAAAGAACTGAATTCTTCCGAAGAATCTTATTAAAATTTGTAAAAATATAAACAATAATAATTAATCATGCACTTAATAAGTGAATTTTTTTAAAAATTTTGGTTATAAAGTTATTCAAACATTTATATTTGATTTCAAATTTTTTAAAATAATTGAAATTCTGTAAAGAATTCAATTATTTATAAAAAAAATTGAATTCTTGATAAGAATTTGTTTCAAATTGTTGAAAATAATTGAAATTTTCAAAAGAATTTTTTTGTTATGAAGATACTTGAATTTTTATGAAGAATTTAAAAAAAATTTTTGATAATAAAAAAAATTGTTTGCAAAAATTCAATTATTATTTAAAAGAACTGAATTCTTCCGAAGAATTATATTAAAATTTGTGAAAATATAAAGAACAATAATTAATTATGCACTTAATAAGTGAATTTTTTAAATTTTGGTTATGAAATTATTCAAAAATTGATATTTGAAAATAAAAAATTCTGTAATTTGCATAATAATAATAAATGGAAAAAGGACGATCCGCGCGTAACATTTGCTAGTAATAAATAAAGTAATAATAATTCAAAAAATAATAAATCGAAAAAAGTTGGTCTTTCTAAAGAGTCCATAAAAACGTGTTTTGTTTCCAAAGAGGCTCCATTAAATTTAACATACCAAATTAGTCACCGCGTGTCAATTTCATCTCTTTCTCGTGAACGAAGAGGAGTACAACGACGACAAAGACGAAGACGACGACGACGGATTATTCAGCAAATATTTTCTGACCCGTATAAAATTCATATGGATCAAGAATTGAATGTCGAATGGGGTTATAACTTTTAGAGTCACAAGGTATAAGGCATCTTTTATCCATTTGTACTGAGCTAACAAGATGTTTCACGGATCAGCATAGTGCCAAGAGATCAGATATGCTTAGGAGGTCCTGGCCAGATTTCAACTCTCCTCAACTGACGAGCGTGGCAGGCAGAAACTCTGCATACATTAATAATTTCTCTCTCTTTCTCTCTCTCTCTCTCTCTCTCAGCGCTCCCGTGGTTCAAGCATGAATTTTCAAAAAGCGTATATATCCTTCCTTCAAACTATGTATATGTGTATATAATATACACACAACTGTTTATGTAAACTGTAAAATCATCTTGGCATGTCTGAAACAGAAAAAAGATGTCCATTATAAATTTGCATATATTCTCATGATTAACCACCAAACAGCAAATTCATTCATGCTTTTATTATTCTCTACTACATGCCAACAATTTTTTTTAACAACAGTTTAAGGCAAAATATGTCATTTCATCTATAATTGAAACTGAAATATAAATTTTCTCCGAAGTAGCAAACGAGCTTTTGAAAATCTTCACTTTTTTTACACTTTTACTATTTTTATTCTTTCATTGTTCCCTAATTCAGGCCTCGGATTTGACCTTAAATCGCAAACAAAAGTAATTTCAGTCGATTTTAAGTACAAAAAAAACTAAAAATTGCATAATTCTATTGTCAGGGTTGCCACGAAAATTTAATTTTGTTTTTCCCTGACATTTCCCTTATTATTTCCAGACAAAATTTTGGCTCTTTCCCCGATCCTTAAGAATATTCTGATTCATTTAAAAAATTATAAAAAATAATTGATATTCTGCGATAAGTTTTGTTATTTATGAAAATAATTAAATTCTTGCAAAGAATTTTATTAAAATTTGTTTTAAAGAATTGAAATCCTGTGAAGAATTTTATTTGTGAAAATAATTGAATTCCGGAGAAAAATATTATTATTTATCAAAATAATTAATTTCTTGTGAAGAATAATATTCAAATTTTTTTGAATAATTGAATTTCTCAGAATTTTTAAAAACTTTTTGAAAATAAAATTCTATCGACAAAATTTTATTAAAAAATTGAAAATAATTGTAATCTGACGAAGAATTTTATTAAATTTTTTTTAATAATTGAATTTATGTGAAAATGTTTATTTTTGAAAATAATTGAATTCTCAGGAAGAATTTTATTAAAATTTCCTAAATAATTGAATTTCTTTGAAGAATTTTATGTTTTACGAAAAAAATTGAATTGTTTCGAAGATTTTCACAAACATTTTTGACAATAATTGTATTTCTAGGAAGAGTGTTATATTTTACGAAAATAATTGTATTGCATGATCAATTTTATTACAATTTTTCAAATTTATAAAGCATTTTATCAAATTGAATTCTCGAGAAAAATTTTATTATTTATAAAAATGATTGATTTCTTGAGGAGAATTTTACTTAAGTTTTTTAAAATAATTGAATTCCCATAAAAAATGTATTATTTGTAAAAATAATTAAATTGTATAGGAAAATTTTATTAAAATTGCAATTTTATTAACTAAATCTTGTAAAGAATTTTGTCAATATTTTTTTAAATAGCCGAACTTTTTAAAAAACTTTATTAAAATAAGAAAAATTTTTTAAAATAATAGAAATTTTACCAAGAATTTTATAAAATTTTTTGAAAATAATTGAATTTCGGAGATGAATTTAAATATTTATAAACACAATTGAAATTTTGACAAAAATTCTTTAAAATTTTTTGAACATTGAACTTTTGAAAATAACTGAATTTCTGTAATCAGTTGTTCTTAAAATTTCTATTTAAATTCATTAAAAATTGAAATTTTCTAAAATTTCAAATTGAAACCTTTGAATAAGTTTTTTATTTATGAAGATTGTAAACACAACTTTTTTGAAATCTAATTAATTTTGAAATTTTTAAGTAAAATTATTCATTAAATAATTTATAAGTAACAATAATAATAGTAATAAATAAATAAAAATGTGTCCAAATATTTTCTAAATTTATAATTTTTTTCTTAATATTCGATTGTATTTAATAACAATAGTTTTATTTTCTCATCATTATATTTAAATTCTACATTTAATAATAAAAATAAGTAAAAAAATCTATATTATTCCGAACAATTTTTTTTTGCGTCAGATTCTAAAAAAAATGAAATTTAGAGACGGAAATGACTCAATATGAAGGTGGGCAGGTAATATTTTCACGCGTCGTTCTTATTATGAGTTACAAGATCACCCGTTAGGCACGAGCAATAATTCGAGCTTTATATCACCTATCGACCTAAAGTATTAGGCGGCGAGCGACGTAATGATCAATTCTAACATAACATTATTAGCGGCTGATGCTTATATATCAAGAAACTTCACAATTACAATCTATTGAGAACTAATTCAAATCAATTCACTTTAGGCGATTATTATTTATCTCCCTCGATTTTACAAAAAAACTGCGAATAAAATTTAATTTTAAAAAAATTCCCTTGAGACAATTCTTAGAATTCGTGTCTTCATTTAAAAATATCAAAATAGAGTATAAAAAAAGTGTAACTTATTATTTAAAATCCTTTTTCAAAATTGTGACAATTTTTACAAATTACAAAAATCACAGAAAATTCTTTCCTTGAAATAGGCGAAAAGGAGAATGATTTTCTAAAAATAGGTGACAAAAAAAATTTCGTTAAATAATCATATGCAAAAAAAGTAATTTGTAAATTCTAACTATTAAAATTTTCATTAATTTAATTTTTCTTCATAAGTTAAGATTTAAAAGTTTAAAATTTAATGATAGGACTGGCAATTTTTTATAAATAAAAATTGGGAATAAACAAAATAACGATTAATTGAAATTTAGATTCTTCACAATACGAAGTAAATTATGTCCCTAAAGTTTTGGAAATTTAAATTAACGAAGTTTACTTCTTTCTTTTTCAAATTCAAATTTTATCCTAAAATAATTTTTTTTTTTATTAAAAAAAACAATTTATAAAGTTTGAAAATGTTTGATTTTTAGGTTTTTAATTTTTTTTTTCAAGTCACAAGTTTTTGATAATATTTTTCGAACATAGCAATTTTATACAAAAAAATCAACTTTTTGAACTTTTTTCTAAATATCATTCTTATGCATAAAATATATGATTTTCAAAAAATTTCAAATTCAAACCTTTATGAAATTCAACAACTTATAATAATTTAAATTTCCATAAAATTTTTCAAAAAAGAATTAAATTATTTACAAAAATTTTAATAAAATCCTTCGCAAGAATTCAATTATTTTTGAAAAAGTTCAATTATTTAACAAAATTTTAATAAATCATTCGAAACAATTCAATTATTTTTTAAAATATTAAAATCTTTGCAAAAATTCAATTATTATCAATAATACAATTTTCCAAAGAAATTGAATTATATTCTAAAATTTTAATAGAATTTTTCTTAAAAATTCAATTACATTTCACAAATATTGAAATTCTTAACTCAAATTCAAATATTTTCAAAATCTACTATTATAATAAAATTTCTCAAAAGAATTCAATTATTTTTTTTAAAAAATGTAATAAAATTCCTTGCAAGAATTCAATTTTAAGTAAATTCTTCGAAAAATAATCTAAAATTTTAACTGAAATTCATTTTTAAATCAATTTCTATTAGAAAATTCTACGAGAATTCAATTATTCAAAAACAAAAATAAATAATTTATTAAATAAATGAATTTTTCTCAAAATTTAATTTTCATAACAAAATTTTATCAACAAATTTTTAATTAAACTAGCAAAAACTGACGCGCGCGAGCGCGCGTGCATTTTTTTTTCAACGTTTTATTTTAAATAATTAAAACTTTATTTTTTCAGCGAATTTGAACCATTATGATGTCACAATTTTTTAGCAAATGCTGTGAACAAATTGTGACGTCATTATGGTTCAAATGCCATTAAAGAAATTATTTCATCTTCTATTAATTAATATATTTTTGCATTTTCTTTTTTTATATAAATAAATTAAAATTTTTATTTATTAATTGAAAATATCTGTTCGCAGTTTATATTTTTTTTTTGTTTAATATTTTAATAATTTTATGTTTTAATATATATATAAATATATTTTTTCTATTAAAATAGCAATTCTTTAAAATGATTATTATTATTTTTAAGGGTATTTTAATTATTATTATGACGTTATAATGTTTTAAATAAATTTAAAAAATGGAAATGCTGGAAAGAATGAAAAATACATTTTTTTTAGAAATATAAAATTATTCAATTAACATCTTCTATCTTTATATCTTCTCTCTATATTAATATCTTCTTCTTCTTCTATCTTCTTTGATTTAGTTGTAATTTACTTTTTTGTTTCCTATCTTCTTTAATAATTTTATGTTTCAATATTTTTAATTTTAATTAAAATTAATATATTGAATTTCATTTAAATTCTTGCAAAAAATTTGAGAATCATTGAATTTCTTCAAAAAATGTCATTATTTATGAAAATAATTCAATTTTCGCTAAAAATCATTAAATCAATTTTGGAAACCCTAATTAAATTTTTCTGAAGAATTATTTTTTATTTTTTGTTTAATAATTGTGTTTCTTTAATAATTTTAATTGGATATTTTTAAAGTAATTTAAATTTATGAACAATTTTTTTCAAGTTTTTAAAACTAATTTTTAAATTTGTAAATTTAGTTGAAACATCTATTGTTTACATTTATCCCTTGTTTACAATTACCCCAAATGGCCCTAATTGTAAATTGATTGTTTTGTTGATTTTTGAATTTTATTTCGGAATAATTCAATTTTTTATTATGTATTTTTCATGATTTGAAGACTTTATATAGTCTTTAAAAGACTTGATAGTATTTAAATAGTTGAAATGAAAGGCGGTGCCTAAAGTATTTTTTTTAAGTTCATTATTTTTTTTTCTTTTTAGAAAATCTATTTTCTATAATATTGTGTTAAAAAAAACGTTAACATTTTATATTTTATTTGAACAGAAGATAACGATAAGTTTAATTCTTGCAAAAGAAAGCACTTATAAGTTAATTCTACACACAAACACACACAGAAATACGTTTATTTTTTACGTAAGTGCCAATAAATTAATTTCAATTTTTTATTTAAAATGAAATAATTTAATTTTGAATTAATTGTATTTTTGATATTTGAATAATTAATTATTATTTTGAACAATTACATTTTTCAATGATTTCAAAATAATTAAATTTTTATTAAAAACAGAATAATTTATTTTTAA